TTCACTACATCAAGGTCTTTTACTTTACCATGACATGATTGTGGTGAGTTCTAATTCTGCCTTCCGAAGACTTTTGTTAGAAGAATTCCATTCAACTCCACTTGGCGGCCATTTTGGGGTGCTCAAGTCTTATACACGTCTTCATGAAAAAAAAAATTGGGATGGTATAAGTAAGGACATGATAGAGTTTGTCAAAAATTGTGTCGTTTGTCAGCAGATAAAATCCACAACAACCAAACCACTTGGTTTATTACAGCCGATTCCTATTCCTACACAGGTGTGGGAAGACATCTCCCTCGATTTCATTACAAGGCTACCTTCATTCCAAACCTTCACTGACATCTTGGTTGTGGTCGACCGGTTTTCCAAGGCTGCTCATTTTGGTATGCTACAAACTCATTTTACAACAGCTAAGGTTGCGGATCTATTTGCACACTTGATCTCCCGTTTACATGGAATGCCCAAAAGCATCATTTCCGACAGAGATCCTGTGTTTATGAGCCATTTCTGGCAGGAGCTTTTTCGTCTTAGTGGTACTAAACTCCGAATGTCATCCGCTTATCACCCACAAAGTGATGGGCAAACAGAAGTGATGAATCGAATTTTACAACAGTACCTGCGGGCCTTCGTTCACCACCAACCGAAACAATGGGGCCGTTATTTGCACTGGGCGGAGTGGTGTTACAACACTTCAACCCATTCAGCTACTGGTCTTACTCCTTTTCAGGTGGTCTTTGGCCGCGAACCTCCCAATGTCCCAACTTATATAGCAGGCACTAGTAAGGTCCAGGCTGTGGACGCTACACTGGTAGACAAAGATGCTATGCTGACCTCAATCAAAAAAAAGTTGTTGAAGGCTCAGAATTCCATGAAACACTTCGCGGATAAAAAGAGGCAGGGTCATTCATTTAAATTGGGTGATTTAGTGCTTGTTAAGCTTCGACCCTACAGACAGCAATCCGTGGCCTTGCGCACCTGTCACAAACTGGCAAAAAGGTATTATGGACCTTTTTCTATAATCAAATGTATTGGTGAGGTGGCTTTTGAGTTGGATCTTCCAAAAGAATCCCGGATTCATCCCGTGTTCCACTCTTCACTGCTCAAGCCATTCTTCCATAACTCAACTGATGTACCACTGGACTTACCTCTTTTTGATCATTTCCACCAACCAGTAGTACAACCGCTAGCTGTTTTGGATGTCAAAAATGATGGGGATCCCAATAATGTGCAAGCTCTGATTCAGTGGGCTGGACTGTATCCAGAGGACTCTTCCTGGGAAAATCTCACCCAAGTTTTACATGATTATCCCAAGCTACACCTTGAGGGCAAGGTGTTTGTCGAAGAACAAGGGGATGATATGAACCAAGCCCATCTAGCAAGGGAGGAAGCCCATACAGATGAGGAACCAGAAGAAGAATTAGCATCAGAACATACCAGCCTAAAGGTTAAATGGTCCAAGAGGTGCAAGACCAAACCCAAATGGATGAGGGACTATTTGGTCAATTAATTAGTTACCATGTGACTCAGGGATAAGGGACGTGTGTGTGAGGATTCTGTTAGAGAGGGGTTAAGAATTCTGTTGCATAAGGTGTAGGGCAACACATGCTGGTGTGCCTCAACCGTTTAGTCATTTGCATCTTTTCTGTTTTGCATTGTGTATAAAGTTCCCTTCCTGGAGTAAATGAAGGTATGAGAAGTTATAGAAAACCCTTGAGGTTAAGGAGGTACCTCCCCTCGAAGGAGGATTATCGTTCTGTTTCAATATATTGCTGTCATTCCTTTGTCTTTCTTACTGATATTGTGCTGTTAAGAGAAGTCCTACCTTTCAGATTTCGCATAGAAAATTGGGCAACCCGCCCCGTCCTACCTACAAACGAGTCAGTCCATCTTGCTCCGTTTTTTGATAGCTTGTTGAGAAACTTAGCCCGCCCTTGTCCGTCAACCCGCCTATGTGTTAAGATTTTCTTGATAGATTTAAATTTTTTTATTATTTATACAAACTTACTTCAATGCAATATCAAGAATATTAGTCATACTAAAATATCATTGTTGACAAAATTGTTTACCAGAAAATCCTCCATAGCTGCACTTTATGGCTACATTGATTTCATGAATAAATATGACAATTTATTAAATAAAAGATTTAAGAGCTGATGTGGGAGAAATAAATAAAAAAGGTGATTATAGTGGTGGGAGAAAGATCGCAGGTGCTTCGTGGAAAATACTGCTCTCATCCCTCAAGAACAGACCTGCTTAGAGCCTAATCAGGAGACTCAAGGCTGTGGAACCAGTTATGCAAAGTGTGGAAAACCATGGAATCGAAGCTAGTTTTGGAAGTGGGCAATGGCAGAAGTATAAGCTTTTGGAACGACAATTGGTTAAACCACACAACCAACCTGGCTCGGATAAGTCACGTCCCTGTGCTAGAAGAAGAAAAGAACAAGAAGATTTATGAATATGTAACCGAACATGGAAATTGGAACTTGAATCGGATTAGCCAATGGCTACCGGAGGAGACCATGCTTGAAATCAGAAGCTATCTCCCTCCTAGCCCAACGGACGGACAAGACCACTACAGATGCCAGATGGCACCTTCCTGATGCGACGGGAGTGACAGTTAAGGGGTTGTACAATGCTTTGATTAATACAAAGGGAAATCAAAATACAAATAATCAACCCTGGGATCAGATTTGGACTTGGCAAGGGCCACAAAGAATGAAGGTTCACATGTGGAAAATCTCCCATAATAAGCAATAGGAAACAGTCCTACACGCTATCAGGGACTGCCAATCTATTAGTGGAATCTGGGATCGAATACTGCCACAAGAGGAAAAGAGTTCCTTCTTTCAGGAAGGACTTAGAGAGCGGGTATAAATAGCAATCTGAGAAGAAAAAGCCGTGTAGGAGGCGTTCCCTGGTGCACGTGGTTTATGGTGTTGTGTTGGCAAGCTTGGACTTAGAGGAATAACTCAATACATGGGAACCAACAGATAAGTGACAATCAGAAGATGGAATCAACTTCCAAGTTTGTTGGGGAAGTACATGAGGTGTATGCTAACACTAGAGCTACTGGGCCAAGTTGGACAATTGATGAAATGATGATAAAGTGGCACCCCCCTGACGCAGGATGGATAAAACTGAACACTGATGCCTCTAGAGGGAACTCGGGCTCTACTGCTTGCAAGGGGTGATTATTAGAGACCGCAAAAGTGTTTGGCAGGCAGGGTTTGCGTATAGAGTCGGAAATTGCTCGACTATAAAAGCTAAATTACGGGGAATAGTTAAGGGGCTTGAGCTGGCACGTAAATAGGCTAGGTTTCTAGGTTAAATAGATAGGCTTGTGTAAAAAATATTAGATTTAGTCTGACTTAAGTATTTAAACATATTAAATATTCAACAATTAAAAGAATAATTATAATAGTATTACTTTATTATTTAAAATTATTAAAATAATAATTTATTTATTTTATTTAAAATAAATAATATGATATAAGCTGACTTGTAGGCTTATAGGCCCAACGTGTATAAAAAACCTATTTAAAAAAAAGTCTACGGCCTATTTTTTAAATAGATTTTTTAAAAACCTAGATCTGTTCTATTTTACTATTTGTAATAGGTCAAGTCTGATCTAATATAAGCTAGGCCATAGGTCCTTGTAGACCGACCTAGCCCATTTATATCTCTAGCTAGCATGGACCGAGGGATGGAAGAAAATACTAATAGAAAGCGACACTAGCTATGAATTGAACTCGGTAGCTCGCATACGAGCATGGATCTGCAAAGACTGGCAAGTTATTTTTATTCACTCTTACGGAGAAGCAAATGGCTGGGTAGACTGGTTATCCAACTTTCCACTAGACAAAAAAAAAAGTACCTTGTAACCAATCCACGTCATCATAAACCTGAGGGAGGATCACGGGGGAAGAAATAATTAAAAAAATAAAAAAATAAACCCAGATTATATCAAAACAGCTAATGACAATACATAATATGGAGAAGTTTGAAAATAATGACAATCTTCAGCTAGATGAAGTGATTCAATAAAGCCTGCCGTGACAAATGTTTTTTTTTTTTTTTTGGGTGGGGGTAATTCAGGAGGGCCTAGCCCAGGACAAATGCTTTAATCTGTTGGTTTTGAGGGTAATTTAATTTCAATCAATGGATATTAGGCGGTAAGGAAGCCCCATACTCTACGGTATGAGTTTATTATGACTTTTTCTAATTATCCAAAACTCACTTAGAAAATATGGGTTCGGCCTAAATCAAATCAAAACCCGAAATACTAATCACTTTCTTCAAAGAATGAGTCGAACTAAATGAATTCAGATACTACTTGTTAGTTACCAAGATGTTCACCGATAGATTAAGCAAGAAATCAAAATAATAGGTCTAATATCACAACTTAACCCAAATCCTTAATATATTGAATTTGTAGATCCTCTGACTTATATAGTCCTCTTCTAATCTAATCCATTCATTATCATTTTAGAACTTTTATCACTCACAATTAAATTTCCATAAATAAAATCAACTATAAATTCCGAATTATTACAATATTAAAAGACATGGAGTTCGCTCTACTTCTCATATACACAGCTGCTATCTCCTTAGCTGGTTACAATATTTAACAAAGCCACAACGTCACATGACACATTAACGGAGATGGAATTTTTTTTTTTTTTTTTTTTCTAGAATGAGAGAGCATTCACGAACCTCGTGTGAAAAAATAACACCTTTATAGCGCACCATAATTTGTAAATTTTGGAAGCAACACTTACATATGGGCAAGATTCTCTGAAATATATAAATGATAATACTAATGAAAAAATCAAGCAAATCAATACAAATACACAAGTGGTTATCTACTAGTATTTCAAGAAAATCTAAGCCATCTATTTCTTTATTAAAATTCCGCAGTGTTACATATAAGGGCAACTTTGTTATAAAGCTCCCGCTGTGAGCAAGTCCAGAAAAGGGTCTGTAGGAGGGCTTTCAAGAAGTACATAGTTTTTATTGTTGTTTTTTTTCTCCATACAATGAAGGGGCAAAGCCCCAAAAACAAAGGAAAAAAAAGAAAACAGAGAGACTAATTAGGGGCAACAAGCCAAATCTGGCTGGAGGACCCAACAACATCATAGGAGATCAACTTCTGAATAGACTGGTCAAGAGAAGCTATAACCGATGTACCCAAGGGGCAGGATAGAGCCATCTTTGCGATCAGTCAGCACAAAAATTACTACTTTTCAAAGCGTGAATAAACTTGATATTCCAAGATCTGTCAACAAGAGCTCGAATCCTAACCACTAAATGCAGTTCTCAAGCTTCATTATCGAATAAGGTAAACAATCTAATAATTTGAGAAGAGTCACTCTCAACTATTAGATTTTTAAAACCGGCCATTGTGGATAGCTCAGAGCTCAGCAAGGAAAGGGGAATAGCACCCCAGAAAAGATTTGAAGCCATCTAGCCATATACCATGACAGTCATGAACAAGGCTACCACAAGCAGCTTTCCCACGAGTCACAGCCCCATCAACATTCAATTTCAGCCACTTGGGAGAAGGTCGAACCTAATGCGATGCACTAGGAGTTGAGACAGCAGTGGACGCACTGATCTGAGGCTTAGCAAGAGAGTGATTAATATCATGTAGAAACTTTAGCACTTCGGCAAAAGAATTCTCAGGTCTTTTAAAATCAGGTTCATGGATTTCCTTGTTGTGTCAAATCCAAAGAAACCAACAGCCGAAAAAGCTTCTCCAGTCAGAGATCCCTCTGTCTAAATGAACCTCGTGTGAAAAAATTAAAGTTTTTTTTCTCTCTTCAAATCAGCTAATAACTTTATGAGGAGAGAAAAAAAAAATTAATATTATAATTATGTATTCCGAGACTTACATAAGTTGCACTCAATAGTTGTACTAAAGAAATTTCGCATTGCAAGAGACTGACATGGCAACAACACCAACCATTGTGCCAAGATTCTCTCTATTCCACTCTGTTACATATTTTAGAAATTATTAATCTGCCGTGTTGTGTAAGCATTAACAACATGAACGCCGAAAAACATGGATGCAAGCATCAAAGTTCTCACAGACCAACTTTCAAGAAAATGAACGTTAGCAAAAAACAAATAACTTTAATTAGGCCACAACTTAAAAGCTAAAATATCCAATAATAATCAGTGACTAAACGTGTCCAACATTGAACTACAAATCCCCCCAACAAGGAAATAAAACCAGCAGACCAAAGAAAGAATAAATATTACTTGTAATATCATTTCTTGGTATGCTGCTATGTCAATTTTTCCTCTTTCTTTTAGAGCTCCTGCTTGTATTGGTCTTAGGGTCCTCATTTAATTTGGGTGCTGATGACTTCCGTACAGCAAAACTCCACAAAGCCCTTTCTACATCGGATGGGGTAAAGGAATCCCCTTCTGAACTTAAGTCCTGCAAATTATTTTTTTCCACCAGATATTCAAGAAATTAACGCAGCCAAATTCCAAACACACAGGTAGTGTTTGGTAGAAGTTTTATTTTGAGATTGATGGGAAAGTGTAAATGGATATTGAAAAATACCACGTTTGGTTCAGGTTTTTGAAAAAAATACTAGGCAAATAAGATAGATAGGGAAATGACTTTTGTGTTGATTTTTGAATGAAATTCACTTTACAAAATACCACTTGAGATGTGGTATTTTGAGATAACTGAGGAAGTGAAAAAACAGGTGCGAAGTTTTTCTCGAATATAGATTTTGCAAATTAAAATAAATTTTCCTGGTACTATTTCGGTCAACCAAACATCTTTTTTTAAACTTTCCCATCAAACTGACTTTCTTACCATTTCTCTAATAAAAAAAAATTATCCTCTACCAAACACCCCAAAGGGTATAGTAACTTCATCCATTACTGTAGTTCATATCGTTTGACAGAAAATTGTCACACTTAATAAAAACCAGATTATTAATGCGCCACCAAAATTGAAGCCCAAATTAAAACCAAAAGTGAGATAATAAATTCTGACCTCCAATGAAAATTCGAAACAAAAACTACTTATTTTAATTCAGATCAAAATACTTATTGAGCATATGTTATACCATGGCCTGGCAATATATTCCTATCTTCTTATAATAAAGTTTAAAACACAAACATGACTCCGTTTATATTAAAACGCATAGAACGATACCTTTGCTTTCATCTGCTATTTATTGGCGAATATTAGATATTGCTTCAGCGAATAATCTTTCGAGTTTCCAAGAGCTGCCTCCATAGCCTGTAGTACAAGCAACAATCTCATAATTAACACGAAAAACAAAATTAACAATTAAAAATAGAAAAGATGTGTTTTTCTTGCAATAATGGATAATATTTTATTCTGTAACCCAAAACCACCACGTTATTTTGGGTTCAAACTTTTAAAATTTTTACTAAAATGACATTGTAGTTTTTTTTTGTTTGTTTGTAATACATTGTAGTTTTTTAGTTTAAGGGTTATGTTTATCTCATTTTACATGAGATAAACAACTCTCCTACACGGGAGTGAATCCTCTCATGTAAAAAAGTGGTCATATGGTCATGTTTTTTGATCACAACCACTCATTCATGATGAAATAAGAAAGAGAAAAGTGTATAATTTTTAAATGAGTGATTGTGATCAAATAACATGACCACTTTTTTACATGAGAGGATCCACTCTCCTCCTACACACACAAAAAGAGGTTGGGTCCCACCACTTTTTTTCTCTCTCCTCTTACCTGTGGGTCCTACTTATACTTTTATTTTTACAACATGAAGTAATTTTTTTCCTAGAACATAAGAAAAATATATAGCTAGCTTAGTTTAAACCCCGAAACAATATCATTTTCATAATTTTATATACTATTACATGATAATCCCTTAAAAATTTCATAATGGTAAGGGAGATAACTTTATCTTTGATAATATATAGAGAATGAGAAATGATAGTCTTATGCTGCATAAGATACATATCTCATGTCATACACCTATAGAGTTTTGTGTCAATTTTTTCTTTTTTCTTTTATTTTCTTTTTAAATTGTGGACCCTACATATTTGTATCACCCACATGAGAGTACTATCTCATGTAACATGAGATTAGTAAACCCCACAGAGAATATATATTTTTTTTTCTCTCTTCTATCACATGTGGAGCCCACATATTTTCACATGTGTAAAAAATAATTTTATCTATAAAAAAAGAAAAAAATGTTTGTCTTTTTAAATGACACAACTTATATCATTTCTCTCTCACAAAGAGTGGGACCTACACCTTTATATTTTTTTGTCCACTCTCTCACCTCTTTTATCTATCTTTTTCTTACTTGAAATGACACAATTTTATATCTTTTAAAATGACAACTTTATATCCTTTTAAGATGATACACACTTTTTACATAAAAAAACATGAAGCCTAAAAATAATAACAATAATCATGATGTGAAATTAGGAGATAGACCTGGTCAGACATGAAGGGGGTTAAGTGAGGGGCGAAAGCAGCCAAAACGGCCGAGGCAGTGGCGGGACCAACGCCTTTCAAGACGTTCAGCTCAGAAACCGCTTTGGATATATCAGGAAGACTCTGAAAAGCCTTCTGAGAAGCCGATTTCACAACGGCGTCGTCTAACGAAGAAACAAAATCCAAGAGACGCGGCCTGAAAGAAATTAAACGCAGCATAACATAAGTAAAATAACATATATTTATATATAGAGAGAGAAGAAGAAGATAGAAGATATTAGCCATCACTGTTCTCCCGATATTTATTTTGATTACTATTCAATTGAAGTAGTTAACGGTGGGGTTACCGCACTCCGGATTAGTCCCATAGCCGGTTCAAAGAGTGGAAGCTCGTGGAGATACCGGAGGGAGCCAACTCGTCTCAAAGAGATAATTAGGGTTGGGTAACTCCAAAAAAAAGAAGATAGAAGATAGTAAGTAACCTCCATTTTCCGCGGGTGAGCTTCCATTGCATAAGTTTGGAAAGCTCTTGAGTGGTGAGGAAAGGGTTAGGGTTTCGTTGGTGAAGGAGGGAAGGGAGCTCGTTGCGATAGAAATCGTCCAGCGAAACCAAATTGGGTTTGTTGTTGAGAGACAGAGAGTGTATTCGAGATGGGTAAGCAGAGAGTGCTTCCTTCCAAACACTCACCTCCGAACACCCAAAATCCATCCTCGCTGCACCCGAACCCAGTTCCCGCGCCACTTACTGTTTTTATGACTCAACAATAAAGTTATTTTTTTGCAGGGATAATATCATTTCACACCACTTTATTTTTTTTTATTTTTTTTTGGTAAACACACCACTTTATTTTTAATGGTACGGTGTTTGTAATTTTTAAATCACATATAATTTTCTCATTTTAAGTAAAAAAAAAATACATAATAAAATTATAGCAGTAAAAGTAAGTTTTTTTTTTAATTTAACTTTTAAATATAAACTACTAATTTTAACTAGAGAAAAGTTCAAAAACCCATCTTTAGTATAATTTTGAATACTAGGATTAATCTAGTGGTAAGAGGTATTAGTGGTTATGTTAAGTGGTGTGTGTTCTAGTCTTTTATCATGTATTCGAGTGTTTTGAATCACTTACACTCTTGTAATTTTTTGAAAAATAAGACCAAATGTTATGAAATATAGAACACATAATAAAATACTAAAAGAAAAAATAGTAAAAAACAAATCAAATGTGTCTGAATAAAAAAATGTATAAAAAAGAAAATATAAGAAAAAGAAATAACAAATATGAATTTCCAATATATTTGTTTCATTTTTTTTTGTCCTTGGTCTATTTATTCTTACTATTTAGATATGTTCGGTCTTTTTTATATCTCTATTTTTTTTAATTTTTTTTTACACAAATCTTTACTAGATAGAATGGTATAAGACTAAAAAAGAGAGAAGAAAATATGAATAAGATAGACCAAAAAATAAAAATAGAAAAAGACCAAACATATCTAAATAAAAAAGAATAAAATATTTATTGAAAAAGAAGAAGAATAAAATAAATCAAAGACAAAAAATAAAAATAATATTAAATATATTGAAAACTCATACTATGATTTTTTTTTTATTCTATTTTTTATTTTAATTTTTTCTTCTTCAATTTCTTTTTTTCATTTTGACTATTTTCATTTTTTTTACTTTAGTCTTTTATGTCACTATTGTGATTTTTATTATATTTGATTTTATTTTTTCTCATATATTTTTTTATAAACCACAGACAACATTCTCCACGAGAGGCAATCCATTGTGGAGCGGGTCCAAGATTAAATCTTTCTCAAAGATGACACTAGAGATTATCAAACACATGCTTTCACCTCTACCTGTTCAGCTCCTATGTACCAACCAAGCTACCTTTTATTAGGTTTCTTCTAATGTTTTTGTTCTTATTCTATTTTCTTTTTTTATACATTTTTTTGACACATCTTATTTTTTTTACTATTTTTTCTTTTAGTCTTTTATTAAGTGCTCTAAATTTTCAGAACATTTGGTATTTTTTTATTACTTTTTTTTTCTAAGAATGATAGAATAGGTATACTTAGTTAATTTTCTAATAGTGTTAAGGAAGGGTGTGGAGGAAAAAAACCACAAGGGAGTAAGTGTAAAAAAATATATAGGGTTATAAGTGATTCAAAGCAATACCTCAGAGGAGTTTTGAACTTTTTTCTTTTAACTAAAATGACCATTAAAAGGACAAACACTTTTTACATTTTTAATTTATTAAATATGCAAGTTATTATATCTAAGCAGGTCATAATTAAGACTGAAGGCAAGTTATTATTTTAATACATTTTATTTTTATCTATAACCTCTTACGTCTATTTTTTATTATCGTTGTATTAAAATAAAATTAACAGCTCTGAGTTAATATCATTTTATAAACATTAACTTGATTTTAATCTAGCGATAATAAATATAACTACAAGGAAAAAAATTATAATAATAACCTCTTCCTACGTTAACATCTGAATTCTTAAAACATGATACTAAATTAGTGAGATATTTGATATGTTTGAATTTTTTTAACTGATATATTTTTATTAATAAATTGATAAAAGTACCACAATATTTTCATTTTATTCTTTTCAAGAATATGCAAAAGTATTTTTTCACATAATATTTTTTTTTTGGTGAATATTTTTTACATAATATTAGGATGTAAAACACTCATAAGTTTTGATATGGACCAACTATATGCGAGATAGAGGCCCAAGTTCATAAAAGTTCAATAACCCAAAACCTCATGTGACTTAGCCACCAAGGCAAAACCTTTCCCTCGTAAAAAGTGTGGGATCTCGTTAACTTGACTAGCAAATCAAACCTAACTTAACCTGAAAAGAATCATTATTGTCGAGATCAACAGCTCAAACAAGTTTGTCCACCACCTGAATCCAATGAATGAAAGGTAGCTTATGCTTGCCATCACATATACTAAATATGCTTGTCCAACAAAGAATAGCCTGAGAGAGACCACATTTCTCTACCAATGAAAGGTGGTATGCAACAAGACGCTCAAGTACTATACAGACATAGACATTTAGCCTAGGTATAATATCTCTCTCTTTGAATATTTGAACCTCCTTGAATACTGAACTGTCTTGAGCATCAAAGTGCCTTTGCAGGTACCTCCAGTCGTTTCCAAATTGCCCAAATACGCAAAAGTGTCAACCAGGCATGTCACAAAGCATTCCTCCATCTCGCCAAGCATCCCAACATCTCGACAGCAATACATACATCTCACATTCTCTTCATCAACATCCTCTAACATCAATTGTGTGTAATTAGGCCTAGCCCAATTCGTGTTGGACTGATCATTTTTAATAATATTATAACCAAATTTTGATGATAATTTCTTATTTGTTGACGTATTTAATTATTTACTTTATACAAAAATAATACTTAAAAAAGTAGAAAATAAATTATATGTAATCATAAAATTTCGTAATAACTAATAATCAATCATTATAATAGTTTTTTTAAAAATTAAAGAAAAAAAGAAACATAATCTATCATTGGATAATCGTCTCTCAGGATAGAACGAATCTCATAATTAGTAGGTCATTACTTTCGAACTAGAGCCCCCTCGAACACGTATGAATGCTTGAAAGGATTTCAAACAAAATGAATGAGAATGCAAGAGAAAAATCAATAAAATGATTGCAAGTGATCAGAAAATTGAGTGAATTTTCTGACGCACTTGACCTATTTATAGACTTCGATCGGCCATGATTCAGGGGTCCATTGAAGGCAAAACGGCATAGGCGAACCGCCGTATTGGTTCAACGCTGACAGAAATGGTGTCGGAGAAGAACGCGCACCATTTCAATTGCATACGAATTCCGAACATTGGGAAAGATACATTAAGGGCATTTCAGGAATTAATAAAAAAGATCACAAGTGCTTTGGACAAAACCAAAAAATAATTTAAGAAAAAATAATTTCCCCCACGTGCTTGATAGGTGTGCCGAGCCAGCGGAGGCGCACGCGTATACGTGTGGTGAACCATGCATTACTAGGTTCTCATCCTCATCCCTTCACAAAAGTAGGATACCCAAGGGAAAATTTGGAATAGTATGGCTAGACTGTATAAAGTTTTCTCCATCACTTATTTTGTCTAATGTGAGACTTCCTTATCCTACACCCTTTTATATTCCCTTACCTTTTCATATTTCCAACCAACTACTTAATTATTCATATGAATTCTACATATGAATTCCAACACACCATGGAAGTTTTTCGAGTAATATATTATTGGTGCTCCATCAATATATTTCAAAGCGAGGAAATATTTTATCAAAAGCATTTTATTGTTTCTAGTTTTTGGAGCATACAACTCTCCAGCTTAGACCATAGAGTTTGAACATGTATTTCTTCAATATAAATTTAACACATTATCATATACTTACTACTGCCCAATATATTTACAAATTTGTTTATTCAACCAAGTCCATTTTTCATCAGTTCAAACATTAGGCTTCACGTACGGTAGCAAAACTTGTTGGTAAATTTTTTTGACATGAAGAATTTTTTTGATTTTTTTTTTCCTTCCAAACATTATAGTTAAGACCATTCAGAGTAATCATTTTATTGGTATCAGGTTTCATTGTTTACAAGACAAATTGATGCAGTTTGGTAAAGACTGATAGTGGAAACAACAAAACCTCCCCTAGAATAATAATACGACAGTAATGCTATACTAAATATAGAAACGAACACATCAATAAAAATCAAAATGTGGTAGAAAATTTGAACACCGAATTTAACTTAGGAAAAACTCCTCAATGCGAAAGTTAAAAAAAATCACCGGATGGTAAAAGTTTTACTATAAAAAAGTAGAGGTACAACTAGTCTTACAAGCACCGTACGCATACATTCCTTCCATCAAATCATGTGGTCACCCAAAAAATCCGAAGTCATCGACAAAATGAAAACATCAAAGAATAATTTAAAACAATACTAGAAAAATACGATTTGTTCACTAATTATCTTGGAAATATTTAGTGCTATATTCGCAAATCGCACCGCCCACACGAGGAATTTCGAGTTAAAATATTAGCTCAATCAAACAAAATTTGACCACCCAATTGTTTGTTTGAAGAAAATTAGGGAGAGTTAAAAAACCCCGTCTCCATTCTTTTTCTCTGTTTAATTCTGCGGACCCCTCTCTTAATTCTCTCACTATCTGAACAATAACTAAGTTGAGAGTAATTCTATTCAAAGCATGTAAATGACATGCTTAAAAAAATTGGGCTTGGGACATGCAAACACATCCATCAATTTTTCTAATCACTTTGTAATAATTTCAAGATACTCAAAATCATACATGTGTATTTATTGATTAAAGTCTTATCCAAGTCACATCGGCATATACTTTTTTTGCTTTTAGAAATCCATAATCTTAATTAATTCTTCATCCGGAGATAACTTCAACTTCGTTTTCTTAACCGATGGAGAAAAATGTGATGTGTTCAAAATTTAATGATGAAACTAACTGTAAAGAATCTTGGGATACACCACCTTAAAAATTAGCTCAAAAGATAGGGGTGTTCAAGGCCTTATAAATGCCATATTAGTTGCCCATCCAA